ATTGTAAGTCTATATAGTATATTATAATATAATATAATATAGTTGTAATTTTTAATTATATTATAAATGAAATATTATTATTTATTATATAATCTTATATTAACCATTTTAATATTATTATTATATTCTATATCATAATTATATACTATATTATATTATAATAATTTTATTACATTATATTACATTTTATGTATTATATTAATTATATTGATATATAAAATATTAGTGTTATATATAACATAAGGATCATTTTGTGAACATGAAAATATTCATGTTTCATTGCATAGTATTATTAAAATTACAACTAAATAAATAAATTAACTTTTTTCATTCTATTACCTTTACTATTCTCAGTCTCATTATTATCACTATTCTCATTCTCATTATTATTGCCTTACTGCAATCAAACGCACATAATTTGGGATAAAAGGAATCCAAATTCCCACCTCACCTCCTACGATCTCATTACTCACGAGTTTTCAGACTTCTAGGTCAAAAACTATACCATCAGTTGAGGAAAAAAAAAGAAAAAAGAAAAGAAAAGAAAAGAAGCAGTGCCACCAGTCTTCACTGGGCATCACAGGACACAAAGGAGGCGCTGTATTTGGAATTATTCCAAAAGCAAGCCCTCCATTTGGATTTTGGACTCTTATGTGCTAGCAGGCTTCACTGAGCAAGGAAGTATTTTTCAGAACACAAAATAGAAATTTTTTTTTTTTTTTTTTTAAAGATTGACGGATTCATATGGTTTGTTAAACGAGAAAAATTAAAACAAAACACAACAGCAGCTTCACAATGAAACTTACCACAAGTAAAAATTAACACAAGCAAAATAGAAAACGAAACAAGCAATCGGGTCGACCACAGTGGGAGTCGAACCCACGACCTTTTGATCCGAAGTCAAACGCGCTAATCCACTGCGCTATGCGGTCCATTTGTTATGTCTTTTAAATATTTAATTAATACTGGAAAATACATGATACATAAAACCGAAGCATGCCTTTATATATTTGTCTGTTTTCAAACAATTGCTTCTGTATCGTCCTAATTGTCTGTTTACAAACAAGACTTAACGTATATTGTTCTCCCCAGTTGTCACTAACCATCATCTTTATCTCAATCTTAAGCTAAAAATAAAAGGTGAACACAAAAAATCATGAAGTACTACTCAAACTCAATCGTCCTTTCAGATGAATAGCTGTATTGTTCATCTCCGTGAAGTGACGTGATCTGCCTAACGTCACAGTCCAAACCAATTGTCCAGGCTGGTTCTAACTCATCAATTATATATATATATATATATATATATATATATATATGCATTCCAAAATAAGCTGCCAAGTTCACATTGTTCTCATCAGTTTCAGATTAACATACTTATGGAGACAAAATACCAATTCATTTTCTTTTATGCTAGTAACAAAAACCTATTCATTTAAGGACAGCAACTTTTCTTGAACCAAATTAACGCGGTGACTTACATAAATCCAAATAGTTACACATTGTGCAAATTGAAATACTCTAAGAGTAGTGTAGAATAGAACTTACATAAATCCAAATAGTTACACATTGTGCAAATTGAAATACTCTAAAGAGTAGTGTAGAGTAGAACTAGTCACCTACACGCGTCCTAGATTTACAAAGCCAATGGCTCAAATGAATTGCCATTTGATTTGTTTGGAAAACATCACTTTCGGATGACTTGATTACACAGCAAAGTTTGGTCATGTGGTCCTATTGTTACTTGTTAGGCAGCCTTACCCGGTTAGGCCTGCTTATGAGCATACCTAAACACATAAACCAAGACCCAACACCAACATGCTTTTTTTTTTTTTCAAAAAAGTAATAAGAAAGCTCATAAACTGTAATTCGTTATAAACTGTGCCTAGCTACACAAGTATTATAAGCAATATCCATAAGACTAATTTTGCTGCTAGTACTCTAAATTTCGACTTGTATAAGGCCTCGTTCGTTTCGCTGATTCGAGTTTAGAATTCGAGTTTTGCTACAGTAAAAAGCTCTCACAAACAATCATATCTAACTTTTTTGCTACAGTAAAAAGCTCTCACATACAATCACATCTCAACTCGAATTCTAAACTCGAATCAGCGAAATGAACGAGGTTAATTTGGTTCGCAAAGCTCTATTATAAGTTAAGTTCTTAAAATTTAGAAGTCGTTAAACTACTGGCTGATTTAGCTTCCCTTAGAATTTAATAAATTTTATTTTTGTTATGCAATTAACACATAATCACTTGTAACTTAAAAAGATCATTTATAAAATCACACTTACTACTTAAATATACAGACTGTTATTTTTAATAATTATTTATTTTTTATTATTATGTTGCTAAATACACGTGCTGCTGTTCGGAACTAAGGGTGCGTTTGAAATTTATTTTAAAATGATTTTATTTTCAATAAAAAAGTAAAAATGAGATTGTTTTAAAAATCATTCTGAAACTAATTCTGAGATTGTATTTGGTTAATTTTTTTAAGAGATTGTTTTGAGTACAATAAAAAAGTAAAATCGTACTTATTAATTAATATATTATAATATTATTAATAAGTACTAAAAAATGAAAGCAGAAAAGTGAAAACAACTTTTAACTGTTTTTAATTCTTTTTAAAAAACTACTCTCATTATTTTCGTTTTTATTTTTTGCTTCTCGAAATATGTTAGAACCGTTTTTAAAAACGGTTCCAAACACATACTAAGTTTTACATCTTGTTTTTTTTTTTTTTTTTTTTTTTTTTTTTTTTTTTGGGGGAAAAAACAAGGTAGTAACAGTATAGCACTTTAAGAATATAAGGTATTGATTAACTTCACATCTGTTAGGGTGAAAAGACAAAATAAAATCACCGGTAATTTTTTTCTTTTTTTTTGTTAGAACAGTAATTTTATATTTTTAAATATTAAATTTGTATTAAAAATTATATATTTTATATACATTTTTAATTTGATGTCTTTTGATCAGATTTATCAATTAAAAATTGACTCTACCCAATGGGATCTCCTAATGGAGAAAATTTCTATAAAATGATGTATTAAAATTGATAGAAGATTTCACCCAGGAAAAATAATGGTACGAGGTAAACCTTTTTCTAATAATGCCAAACAGCTGTGTCTTGTCAATATATAAGATGACTAAAATAT